AGGCTAATTAAGGGGACGAGAAATAGGGAAAAGCTGAGAGAGATTTATTCTCTATGGCGACATTGGGATGAGGAACAGATGAAAGGATCCAGTGACTCCCAAATCTGTTTCCACAACACAGACATGAGGTTCAGGTGTAGGGAGCAAGAGGTGCATGTAATTAAGCAGTCCTGGTTGCCCTGTGGTTCTCCATCACTGTTCTGGTCCTGCAAGGTGGTCCGATAAAATGGTAGGTTACTAGGCAACTTGCTAATCACCGAAGGTGCAGCCTAGTCCTCCCACTCTGAGTCTGGAGCCTGTCCTGGCTGGTTTTGCCCTCCTGGAATTAAGGAGGACTCAAGAAGAAAGATTAAGGACAGAAACTTATTTCTGTATCTACTGCTAAAGTACAGATGCAAAGTTAAAGCCGAGGTGCCAGGCTTCACCCTGAGTTTCATCTACCCCGGGATGGCCCACATGAGGAATCAAAGCTGTTTCAGCAAAAGCATCATCTGAGTGCCCATTTCACTCCATCTGTGGTGATTAGCCATGCTCATGGTTTAGACATGTCACAAACACTGACAGCATCAGGCATGTTGTAACAGCAAGGATACTGGAAAGGTCACTTAGACAGGGCAAGTGATTAGAAGAGATCAACCTGGAGGTTTACAGAAGTGGAAAGAGAGTGCAGAATGAGGCACAGGTATGCTGTACACATGTATTCAGAAGTGTGGGAAAATTATTTGACTAAGTGAAAAGAAAAGGAAAAAGTGAGCCAGTGGCCACAGGATTAACGTGAACATGGGATGCCCACACTGCTGTTACCTGACAGTGTCAGGAGGAAGGAGGCTGTGAACGCATGCTGACTCTGGTCTCCGGTATTGATTCCACCAGGATTCACACACTTCTGAATGAGCACACCATCAACGCAGATCACAAACTAGCACAGGTAGGCTTCAAACCGCTGACAGATGACGTACGACACTAGAGAAGATTATGCAGCAGGAGACAAATCCCTCCTTAACAAATTTCTAAGAAGACAAAATTGATCTATTTGGAGAATAAATCTGCTTGAAAATATATGTGTAAGAAGGAGAAGAATAAGCCTGCTTTTTAAGCTTCAGGGAAATTGATTCACATTTCTGGTGAGCAGGAAGGCAGTGGGGACTACAAGCTTAAATCTGTCTCAATGACTTCAGACCTAAAACCATACGGGCTTCCAAACAGCTTTTCAGAACCTAATCTGTTCTGTTGTATAGACTCCTCCTAAGTGGCAGTTTGACAGGGATTAGCCCTTTTTTCTGTCATAAATAAAACTGAATTATACACAATAAATATAATTATTTACTAACTTTATTTTTTAAGTATTTACTTAGTTTTTATTTTATGTGTATTTGTGTATGCTTGCTTACCTGTATGTGCACCATATGTGTGCTGATTCCCATGGAGGCCCATATGTGTGCTGGATCCCCTGGAGCTAGAGTCACAGGTGGTTGTGTGCCACCTGATGTGGGTACTGGGAACCAAATCCAGGTCCTCTGCAAGAACAGCAAGTGCTCTTAACCACTGAGCCATCTCTCCAGCCCTAACTAAATTTGTTTTGCTACAAAGACTTAAGAGACTTTTCCTATCAATACACTGTAGGGGAGAAAGGGATTTAGTTTCTCCATTCTGATGGTTTGCTATTGAATCTGAGAAATAAACTGATAGTAGACACATCAGCAGGGGAGAAGGGACACAATTGTATTTCAGGACAGTAAATGCATTATGTGCATACACACATAAGGCACATGACGTATGAGGCTCAAAGAAGGGCCAGGTGGGTGGAATTTATAGTGTCTTAAGCTAGAGAAAGTAACTAGAGTCTCTGGTGACAGGTTATGGGAGAAGATGGAATGCATGCCAGATAGAAGTTGTCTTATTATGTAGATAAAGTCTTTTCAGTAGAAGACCTCAAAAGAATAGGTAAGGGACTTTAAGTTTCCTCCTGCTGTGGGTTAATCTTCTTTTCTGATCAGATTATTGGGAGGGGTACTCATGACAGCCACCTTTCCTCTAGAAAACCTTTTAGGTTAGAGCACTTCACTGATGGTGCCTTCCTGTGTTTCTTGGGGGAAAGAGGGGAGGAGGGTCTGGGGTAGAAGGGCTGCGAAGCCTTGTTTAGGAGACTGCACCTGAGGCCTGTCAATTCTAGCTTCCTTCAGTTCAAAATACGCAACTTGCCAAAGTGCCTTATATTTGACTATAGTTTTCTGAACTGGATCCAACAGGACATAAACTTATTCAGTCTTTTTATTAGACCACAGAGTGGTACAAAGAAAGTGTCTACAAAGAGATATTAAATATTTCTCTACTAATGGACATACAAATGTTTTCCCATTTGGGATCATGTGTCCGTGTGTGGGTGTAAACATAAATGCATGGCGTTTGTGTTTATATGTGGTATGTTACTTTTCTATTGTTGTGATAAAATACCATGACCCAAACAACTAATAGATGAATATGCTTATTTCGGCTTATGGTTCCAGAGGAACGAGTCATCATGGTGGGAAGGCATGGCAGTAAGCATCAGGAAGCAGAGAAATCACATCTTCAACCACACACAGAATACAAAGCGTGAACTAGAAGTGGAGTAAGGTGGTAAGTGCTCAAAGCCTACCCAAGTGATGTGCTTCCTCCACAAGGCTACAGCTCCTAAAGGCTCTGAGAAAATAAAAAGAAACTAGGCGCCATGAGTGCTCAGGGGCCCACAGCCCACCTGTCAGGACAGGCAGGCGCCGGTCAAGCTTCACAGATCAAGCCATAAACAAGCTTTACGGGCAGAACTCCTGACCACCCTGAGGGCCCGATACCAGGAAATCTTAAGAAAACATCTGTGCCTCTGAGGTCACCTCCCATTTAGCAATCCCACTTCCCCCTAGCCCCGGCCCTTACCCCATATCTTTGCATACTTTTGAAATTACTGGTGAAATTACTGTGTGTATGTTTGAATTAACCAATATCCGCACTTCTGCTTCTGTACCCTGCTTCTGCCTTATAAAAACCCCCTGAACCCCACCTGAGGCACGCAAGTCTTCCGAGGAGACTTTGTGCCCACAGGTACCTGTGTCCTAAATAAACCTCTTGCTGTTGCAACCCGAAGGCTGACTTGTCCTCAGTGGTCTCCGAGGAGACTTTGTGCCCACAGGTACCTGTGTCCTAAATAAACCTCTTGCTGTTGCAACCCAAAGACTGACTTGTCCTCAGTGGTCTCGCTCTTACATTTGGAGGTTCCACTGAGATCAGCCGGTCAGAGGGAACCACCAGGACAACTCCAGTCCCTTTGGGGAGGTGAGTTGGCCGGCCAACCTCAGTGTTGTCTTTGTGTCTCTGCGTCTTGCGTTGTCTGTCTTTTGTTTGTGTAAGCGTCTGTAGAATTTGAACTTGGAACTGAGATCTCGTCTGTATTTTGGGACAGTGCTAGAGCAAGACGACGGTCTTGGAGCTCTGCCTGTCGCCCTGGGGGACGCCCCAGGGACTGAGAGGTTCAGGAATCAAGGGACGTGAAGTCCCCTCTGTCTCCGTGGATCTCGTCTGGGAGGTTCAGGAATCAAGGGACGTGAAGTCCCCTCTGTCTCCGTGGATCTCGTCTGGGAGGTTCAGGAATCAAGGGACGTGAAGTCCCCTCTGTCTCCGTGGATCTCGTCTGGGAGGTTCAGGAATCAAGGGACGTGAAGTCCCCTCTGTCTCCGTGGATCTCGTCTGGGAGGTTCAGGAATCAAGGGACGTGAAGTCCCCTCTGTCTCCGTGGATCTCGTCTGGGAGGTTCAGGAATCAAGGGACGTGAAGTCCCCTCTGTCTCCGTGGATCTCGTCTGGGAGGTTCAGGAATCAAGGGACGTGAAGTCCCCTCTGTCTCCGTGGATCTCGTCTGGGAGGTTCAGGAATCAAGGGACGTGAAGTCCCCTCTGTCTCCGTGGATCTCGTCTGGGAGGTTCAGGAATCAAGGGACGTGAAGTCCCCTCTGTCTCCGTGGATCTCGTCTGGGAGGTTCAGGAATCAAGGGACGTGAAGTCCCCTCTGTCTCCGTGGATCTCGTCTGGGAGGTTCAGGAATCAAGGGACGTGAAGTCCCCTCTGTCTCCGTGGATCTCGTCTGGGAGGTTCAGGAATCAAGGGACGTGAAGTCCCCTCTGTCTCCGTGGATCTCGTCTGGGAGGTTCAGGAATCAAGGGACGTGAAGTCCCCTCTGTCTCCGTGGATCTCGTCTGGGAGGTTCAGGAATCAAGGGACGTGAAGTCCCCTCTGTCTCCGTGGATCTCGTCTGGGAGGTTCAGGAATCAAGGGACGTGAAGTCCCCTCTGTCTCCGTGGATCTCGTCTGGGAGGTTCAGGAATCAAGGGACGTGAAGTCCCCTCTGTCTCCGTGGATCTCGTCTGGGAGGTTCAGGAATCAAGGGACGTGAAGTCCCCTCTGTCTCCGTGGATCTCGTCTGGGAGGTTCAGGAATCAAGGGACGTGAAGTCCCCTCTGTCTCCGTGGATCTCGTCTGGGAGGTTCAGGAATCAAGGGACGTGAAGTCCCCTCTGTCTCCGTGGATCTCGTCTGGGAGGTTCAGGAATCAAGGGACCTTACAGGTCCTCTTAACTACGGAGGAAAAGCAAAGGGTCATCCTGGAAGCCCAGAAGCACGTCCCGGGGGCAGACGGGAGACCGACCCAGCTGCCAAATGAGATTGAGGCTGCCTTCCCTCTTACTAGACCTGCTTGGGACTTCAATACGGCTGAAGGTAGGGGACACCTACGTCTTTATCGCCAGGTGCTTGTAGTGGGCCTCCAAGGGGCAGGAAGGCGCCCCACCAATTTGGCCAAGGTAAGATCAGTAATGCAGGGAACCGACAAGCCGCCCACTGTGTTCCTAGAAAGACTTAAAGAGGCATATTGGAGATACACTCCCTTTGACCCCGATAGCCCCGATCAAGAAGTGAGTGTTTCCCCCGATCAGGAAGTAAGTGTGTCTATGTCTTTCATATGGCAATCAGCTCCTGATATTAGGAGTAAGCTCCAGAGAATGGAGAACCTACAGGGACAAGGTCTTAGAGATCTCTTAAGAGAGGCAGAGAGGATTTTTAACAAAAGAGAAACTCCAGAGGAAAAAGAGGAAAGACAGAAGAGAGAGGCAGAAGATAGAGAGGCAGTGAGAGACCGAAAGCGGAATAAGGAATTAAGTAGAATCCTGGCCACAGTAGTGAGAAAGGAAGATAAAGACAGAGTAGAGAGGAAGGGAGACCAACGGCTTGTCCAACTAGAAAGAGACCAGTGTGCCTACTGCAAAGAAAAAGGACACTGGGCAAAGGACTGCACCAAAAGAAAGGGAAAACAGAGAGGGGAAAGAGCCAAGATCCTCCAACTCGATTAGGGAAGTCGGGGCCAGGAACCCCCACCTGAGCCCAGGGTAACTCTTCATGTGGGGGGAAGGCCAGTCACCTTCATGGTAGATACTGGGGTGCAACATTCCGTCCTTACCCAGACGACTGGCCCACTCAGCAAAAGAACTATATGGGTGGAAGGGGCAACTGGAGCCAAACGCTATCACTGGACTACAAACAGGAAGGTTCAGCTTGCTTCAGGAACAGTCACTCACACTTTCCTGCACGTACCAGACTGCCCCTACCCCCTGCTAGGACGGGACCTACTAACCAAGCTTGGAGCACACATCTATTTTGAAAATAAGGGAGCCAAGATTACTGATTCTAAAGGAGCACCTATACAAGTGCTCACCCTTAAATTAGAAGATGAATATAGACTGCATCATGATCCCCACTCTGTCCAAACAGGCATAGACCGGTGGCTGGCCAAATACCCTGACGCTTGGGCAGAGACAGGAGGAATGGGATTAGCTATACATCGGCCACCCCTAATTATCGAATTAAAGGCCACCGCGACACCAGTGGCTGTTAAACAATATCCTATGACGGCCGAAGCCCGCCAAGGAATTAGGCCACATATTAAGAGACTGCTAGAGCAAGGAATATTAATCCCCTGTCGGTCAGCCTGGAACACCCCTCTGCTGCCTGTTAAGAAACCAGGAAGCGGGGATTACAGACCAGTACAAGATTTAAGGGAAATCAACAAGCGGGTAGAAGATATCCACCCCACGGTCCCGAATCCTTATAACTTGCTGAGCACCTTGTCTCCTAGCCATACTTGGTACACTGTACTGGATTTAAAAGATGCCTTCTTCTGTCTAAAGCTGCACCATCAGAGTCAGCCCTTGTTTGCCTTTGAATGGAAGGACTCCAACCTGGGGATTTCCAGACAGCTTACTTGGACACGGCTGCCTCAGGGGTTTAAGAACAGCCCCACCCTTTTTGATGAGGCCCTACACCAAGATCTGACTGCTTTCAGGACCCTCCACCCCCACCTGATCTTGTTACAGTATGTAGATGACATCTTGCTGGCGGCAGAGACACAGGAGAAGTGCCTGGCAGGTACGGAGGCTCTTTTACAAGAATTGGGACAGATGGGATACAGAGCCTCAGCGAAGAAGGCCCAGCTCTGCCAGAAAGAGGTAACCTACTTGGGATACCGGCTGAGCGGAGGACAGAGATGGTTGACATCAGCTCGCCAGGAAACCATCTTGGGTATCCCAGCACCTCGTGATCACAGACAGGTGAGAGAATTTCTGGGGACTGCCGGGTTTTGCCGCCTATGGATTCCAGGGTTCGCAGAAGTGGCGGCCCCCCTGTATCTCCTGACCAAGACAGACGGACCCTTCGTTTGGGAGGACCACCACCAACAAGCCTTCGACCACATAAAGAGGGCTTTGTTGGAGGCTCCGGCTCTTGGCCTGCCTGATCTGACAAAGCCATTTGAACTGTACATGGATGAAAAGCTGGGGTACGCGAAAGGGGTCCTGACCCAAAAATTAGGGCCATGGAGACGCCCTGTAGCCTACTTGTCAAAGAAACTAGACCCAGTGGCAGCCGGCTGGCCCCCTTGTCTGAGAATGGTGGCAGCCCTGGCAGTCCTGGTCAAAGATGCCTTTAAATTAACTTTGGGTCAGCCTCTTTGTGTTCGAGCCCCCCACGCCCTAGAGTCTCTCATCAGACAGCCCCCGGATCGGTGGCTCTCAAACGCCCGGATGACTCATTACCAGGCTCTGCTCTTGGACTCTGACCGCATCCAGTTCAGACCCCCCGTCGCTCTCAATCCTGCAACCCTGCTACCTAGCACAGAAGAATCCGACTCGCAGGGCAACCATGACTGCCATCAGGTCCTGGCGGAGGTTTTCGGCACCAGACCAGACCTGAGCGACAAACCACTGGAGAAGGCAGATCACACTTGGTATACAGACGGGAGCAGCTTCCTTGAAGGGGGACAACGCCGGGCTGGAGCCGCAGTCACCTCAGACAGCAAGGTAATATGGGCCGAGCCCTTACCAGAAGGAACGTCCGCACAGAAGGCCGAACTGATAGCCTTGACACAGGCCCGGCGGCTGGCAGAAGGTAAGAAGCTGAATGTGTACACTGACAGCCGGTACGCCTTCGCCACTGCACACATCCACGGAGAAATTTACAAAAGAAGGGGGCTTCTCACATCAGGAGGGAAGGAAATAAAGAACAAAGCAGAAATCTTGGCACTATTAGAGGCTTTGTTTTTACCAAAAGAACTCAGCATAATGCACTGTCCAGGTCACCAGAAAGGAAATCACCCTGAGGCGAGGGGAAACCGCCTAGCCGACCAGACGGCCAAGGACATTGCCTCCAAGAGTCAGGTTCTGACTATGCAAATGGACCCTGAACGCCAGAG